AAGGTTTGGGGCTTCAGATCCAGGAGGGAGCAGGACTGCGATGGGGCGCTCTGTGGGGCAGCAGGAACTGCAGGCAACCCACGGGGGATGGAGAGGTGGGTGCAAATGCCTGGCATCAGAGCAGCCCCTGGCGGTGTTGCTCTCAGGTCGGAGGTGTTGCTTGCTGCCTTGTGCCTCCTCGGTGTAATCGCCGCTCAGAGCGAGTTGCTGAGCTTGCCTGACCTACTTCTTCCAGGGCTGCTCTCGTTTCGTGGTGTAACTGGTTGTGTGTGGCCCAGCAGAGGCCACCTTGCTGCCATCTCTGCTCCCATGGAAGCCTTGAGCTCAGGAAAGACACGAAGCTTTTAGCTCTGCGGGGACCTGACCTTGCACCTTTGGGTGTTCAGGACACATCTGTGGGCACCGGGGCCCTGGTGGGAAGCTGCTGCTGCAGTGCTGGGTGAGGGCATGGGAGCTGGCGTGGCTTTGTTCACTTGTTCTGGGTCCACACCCAGCTAATTGCCATCCGCAATTTGACAACCTTCTTGGAGACGTTTGGTTCCTTCCTTTCCCTCTAATTGCACCCTTTCAGCTTTTTTTTTAATCACCTTTCAGAAATCACAGGTAATTATATTCAATATTGTAGCTGTCTTGAGGCTATTCAGGCATAGTGTGGATTTTGGGGGGTATCTTGGCTTAATACAACTTTTTAAGAGGTTGGCTTGAGGGAAGAGGTTCTTGAATAACTCAATTCTCAAATCTTCACATCAAATGTTGTCAGTCTTCAACCTCTGGAGGTTACGTGCCCTCTGAAGAAACTCTCAATTTTCATTTCTCGCTCTGGCTCTCAGGAGTTAAAGATGACAGCTCCTGTGTTGCTTTAAAAAAAATATCCTTTAAACAGCCTAAAGACTTGCTTAGCACAGTTAGTGCTCATCTGGCTCTCGTCATTGTTCTGCGTTTTCATCGGGCTTTCAGACGGGTATCTCTCACAGTTCCCGTGTTGATGCTGTGTCTAATGAGGGCTCGCTGCTCTATTCATCACCAAGCCTTGTGATTTTATCACATTCATGAGCCCGTTTCAGTGCAGGCAAAGACTTGAGCTCCTGTCTGAACCAGGGGCTGAACTCTGCCTGTGGACACTGAAGGCAAGAGTTGTTTTTTACTAGCTGTGGAGATATTGCTGGATTCCTGCTGCATACTCACTGGGCTGGGCGTCTGCTCCAACCTTTTATTATTCCGACGTCTGTCAGGGTGACAAAGCCACCCCAATCCACTGGACCAAACGCACTGTTTAGATAAGCCAGGTGGCCTTTTGGAGAGCTGCGTGAGGGGGTGAGGCTGGCTCCTGGCTGAAATGATTGGTCCCTGTGCAAACTCTAATTGAAAAATATCAGTTTCATCCCTTCCCTAGAGCTGCACCCTCTGTTCTGTTCAAACTTATTTACATCTAAAATGCCAAAGACTCAGATTTCATTATCTGAATTGCATCCATCTACTTAACCTCGTGCTAGTGACCTTATTCCCACGTGGGACACATCTAGGAACACCTTCCATCTTCATCGAAAACACAACCACAGGAGTCTTCACTGACCTGGCTCCCAGGGCTGCGCCTACTTACCGAAGCCTGCGCTGAAATTCCAGGTTTTGCAGGTGAACCTTTTTACAGCCACTCTTCCCCGTTTAGTTTTTGAAATTGGAAGTTGCTGTTAAAGCAGGGCTAGAACAGAACTCCCCATTCGCCAGGCCTGGGAGGCTGAAGGATTGTTCCAAAATCACAATATTGTCAGAGAGAGGAGAGAGCCCTGGTCCTGTGTGAGTGATGTGTGTTGCTGTACGGGTCTGTGTCAAGTCAAAGGCTGTCCAAACTCCTTGACAGCCCAGGGCTGGATCCCATTATAGCAATGGCTAATCGGGGAACCAGATGGCAAATAACATTATATTATGATGGAAAATAATCCCAGGCTCTGAGGGAATTGTCCAAGAGACTGTCAGTTGTACAGCATCAGTCTGTTAGATAAAGGCTGCTCTGGGATCCCTTGCTTGAAATCTCTCTGCTCCTCAGCTACTGCGTGCCCTCAGGTCAGTCCCTTCCCCTCCGTGTCCATCTGTCCTTAGATTTTAGCCCCTTGAAAGGTAGGGGTTCTGCTGGTTGCTCCTTGGTGTTTTTTCTTTTTGGGGGTACAGTTACTGTTTGGCAATACCTGGTGATGATTAGGTCTGGTCCAGCCTGTTTGCAGCAGTGGCACTGCACTGCAGAGAGACAAAAAGGCTTTTTTAGTGCACTTTTAGGTACCGGTGTGGACAAAACCTGGGAATGGCTGTTTGAGAGTGCAGGGGAAAAATAAGTAAAAGTTTTAAGTTCTGGCTTCAAGGTGGAGATACTTATACAGAAAGTGGTTTTGGCCAACCTGCCGTGGTTGAGTGTGAGTGAGCGTTGTGTGCTCCGTGTGTGTGTTTTGTAGCATCAGGTATCCCAGAAAAAGGGGACGGGGAAGGTCCTCCAGTAAAGATGCCTTCAGCGTCTTGTTTAAAACAGGCCCGGCTATGGAGGACTTCCCTACCTGCTCATTCCTAAACGCAGCTTTTAAGCAAGCACCTCTGAAAGTGAGGACGCTGGCTCTGCAAAACCCTCCTGGTGAAAGCAGTGACCGAAACCGCGCCTCCAGAAGGAGGGAGGCCTCTGTTCCGCCTGTTGAAACCCTAAATGAGGTGGTTGGGGAGTTCACTTTCAGTGTCCATGGAAATGCCATAGCAGCCTGGTAAAGTGACCAGAGTTCCCTGCAGCTTGTATTTAGGACCAAGCAAACCAACACGTAAGAGCAGCTTCCTAATTACCGTGGCTAATTAGTTAATGTTAGGGATAGGCTTTGAAGATGAAAAGCGAAGAGGTGTTCAGTTATTAAGTCTCCAACACCCCTGTAATGCCAGCAGCAGCTCTTGCTGTGGGTCAGCAGGGACTTGCAGCTGAAGTGGCTCACCCAAACGCTGCAGAGTTTTCCTTGGAGCCTGCAACAAAGAGCGGAGGCCCTTTGATGTGAGGATTGCATTTGGCTAGGTAAATCTCTCCCTGAGCTTGTTGTAGCATAAAGGTGATGAGCCCCATGCAGCCGATCCTGCCTCGGGGCAGGGAGATGGTCTTGATGAGCTTTTAAAGTCCCTTCTGGCCCCGTTTTCCCTGATTTTGTGGTCCAGGGAGGGCTTTGCTCAACTGTAGCTTGTTTTTCCTGCTCGGCACAGCTTGCTGGGCAATGGCCTTTTCTCAAATCTGGGTTCCCCCCTGTTGGTGCAGAGCGTGGTGCAGGGAGGGCTGGTGTCCCGTATCCTCCCCACCACTGCTTCCTTCAGAGGCTGTTTGAGCAGATGCAATTGAAGCTAAATTGAAGCTAAAAAGGCAGCTGAGATGTGCATGACAAAGACTAACCTGCTGCAGACCTGGAAGTAACAAAGTGCCTTCATCTTGCACCTACGTGAAGACCGACGGGGCTGCGAACCTTGCCTTTGCTCCCGAGCATCTACATTAAAGAGATCTGAAGGAAAGAAGAATTTGAAGCCTTTTTTTCCCCCCCTCCTATGTTGTGATGTGCCCCTCCTCTTCTAATAAAATGTCTGGGAATGCTTTGGAGGCTACTTCTGCATAGCTCCTGCCACACCTGTTGGGAAGGGGAAATTCCTCGTAGTCTGCCCTCCCGGAGCCGCCCCGGGGAGCGCTGCTGCTGGAATGTTTTATCGACAAAGCTGGCAAAAAGCTTCCTTTCCATGAAAATTGAATTATTTGTTTGCTCACTTTTGAATTTTCTCTCCGTGGGCCAGACCTGCAGCTGTAGTTAATTAGCCCAGCTCCAGATGTGACTTATATATTTAGGGATGTCATTTCCCTGCATCTCCGTGAGTCTATAGGTCTTCCTGCTGCCCTGGTTTGGGCACTATTTCAGCTTTTGGTCTGCCTTGTCCCTCATTTAGGCAACAAATCCTGGGGACAGGGCTGTGTGGTGGGGTCTTGGTGGCAGCAGGTAGGCAATCACGTACGCTACCTTCACTTGCAGAAGGGTTACAAGAAAAAAATCTGAAAATTCAAGGGATGGCTCCTGGGCCAATTTTGTGCTTTATGGGTGGTTTGCAGTAGGATGGGATAGCTCCGACAAACAGAGCTTGAGTTGCAAGTGTGTTTCCTTTACTCTCCCAGTCCTATTGCTGGTCCCAGATAGAACCAAGACCAGGATTTCTGCTTGCTAGAGACTGATCTGGAAAGATTGCACTTAAGATTGCAAGCTTAAAAAAAGAAGGAAAAAAAAAAACACGTGTAATTCTGATGCTTTAGCATTTATCGTTGTGCTTTCAGGCCATGACTGCAAGACTCTGCCTGGTTTTGGAGTGGGGTCAAGAACTGAGCTTTCCAGAGTGGGAGGCTGTAGAGCTCCTCTGAGCATTGCAATAAAACGCATGTACTTGCAGGATTTGGAGGCTGTAAGATCTCCAGACTGTGTGTGGTAAAAGAAAATTAGTTATAATGGCCTCGTGATTAATAAGCAGCGTTTATCTAGCATCATGGGTGTGCATACCACCAGCAAAACAAAGCCGAGGTCTCTGCCTGGGGGAGGTGATGTGCTTAGAGCCATAAATACCTGCGCTACAACCTGCTCTCTTCACGGCCAGTTCTTTAAAATGTGCAGGATCAGGTACCTGGCAGGGCGTGTGCAATAAAACAGATTTAGAAAGACAACACGCGATGGCATGAAAAGAGAGAGGGGGAGAGACTGGGGGAGGTGGGAATGGACGCCCTGTGTCCCTGTGCGCACAGCAAGTGTTCACGGAAGGGGAGAAACAGTCCCGGGGCGGCGAGAGGGCTGGGACTTGCTTGGAGCCTGGGCTCCCCCCCAGCTGCTGCTGGCAGAAGCGATGCTGCTCGCCCAAACCCTGTGTGACCAAACCCCGTGTGAACTTCCCTCTGCAGGCGGGCGTCCCAGGGGGCGGGCGGTGCGGGGCTCCCAGCGCTCACCTTCTCCTCTCTCTGTGCACAGGGGCAGATCGAGGTCGAGAGCGAGACCGTCTTCAAGTTGGCAGCCCTGATTTTGCAGGTAAGCTCTTCTTTCTCGTGCCTGGAGCCGCACGGTGGCTTTCTCCTATCGGCAACTCTGCAGCTTCGGCATGTGCAGCCCCTTGACTTGTTAGCTCAGCTGCGTGCTGCCTTTTTTTTTCCTCTACTCTATGAAGACAAAACCACGCGGTGTAGTTCATATTCTCTGTAGTTGAAGAGGGGGAAAAATATGCTACAAATGTTGGGAGCTGTTTTTCTTTTAGGTTAGGCGAAAAAAAATGTGTATTTGTGGAATTTTAAATTGGAGGAGGGAAGGAAGGAGGAAAAGTTCATCAGGGGAAGTAATTTATTTGTGCAGGTTTCTATCCAATGTATCACTTACTCTTTTAATTTAACTGTATGCTAGAGATCTGGGAAGAAAGAGAAGAGTATGACACTGTAGCTAAAACTTGTGTGATGCCTGTGAATTTTTCTTTCAGAGCACATACTTTATACATCTATTATCTTAAATTATGTTAACTTTTTCTCCCCTTCATCAAGTGGTGTTGTCCTCAGACTTAAACTTTGGTTATTTACCACCTTCTGTGAAATAAATATCTCCTGTTAAAATGTTGGTCGTGTCCTCCCTCCCACACACACACTGTCGCTGACAAAATACTCCAGCCAAGCTGCAGTGCCTTGATCTGCCCGAGCTGCTTCCATCTGAAGCGAGCCCAGTTCCTCCCAAAAGTTTGACCTGCTCATAAAGCCGACCTTTAGCTGGGTTTGGTCGGCCAGAGAGAGAACAGGATTTCACTTCTCATGCAGTAAAAGAGACATGGGATTTGGATCGTGAAATTCATCCCCCTTCTAGAAGCAGAATTATTTATGGTGTAGGTGGATAATCTACAGCTGGAAGCGTAAAGGGCCAAGTCCTGTTCCTGAGTGCATGCAGGCAGCCTCTGGGCTCCGCATGAGTGGAGCTGAGGTCGGGATCCAGCCAAAAAGCTGTGGGAGTGGGGCAGCGAACAATGCTGGGAAAACCGAGGAGTTTTGAAGAGATCTTGTTTTAATTCTGTCACTGTTTTTCAATTGTAGGAAGCCAAAGGGGACTATTCCAGGTAATAACATTTTCCTTTCTAACCCTAATGTGCTTGATGGATGTGTTTTTGTTGGTTTGCATTGTGTTTCAAACAATCAGAAATGGGGGGGGGGGGGGCGAAGTCCAGCCGGGAGCAGCGGCTGCAGAAAGCAAAATGCACCGCTAGGCTGGATAAAATCTGAGTGCGCAGGGTGAGTAAGTCCTTCTGTGAACACGCTCTGAATCAAACCAATTTTCAGGCCATCCCTCTCTGCTCTCCTCCCCTAATGTGCATGCCTGAGTGGGACGGGGAGAAAACAGCCTTGCAGCTCGGCTCCAACCCTGCCCGTGCCCCTGCCCACCCGGCAGCAGCGCGTGCAGGGGGCTGTGGAGCTCGCCAGCTGCCCACCGAAGTCAATGAGCTGCTTTCTTCTGCAGCTGCCCTGGGGCCTCCCCCTGTGCCCGCACCTGACCCAACACTTGTGCTGTGGCTGGCGTGCGAGCCGTGTGCTGCGCTTTGGCTGTTTGAAGCTGCGTCCTCCCAGGGTGCTTGCCCTTGGAAATCGCTTTCTGCGGGTTCACCTCCGTGCACTGGTTTGGGTAACCAGCACTGGGGGCTGTAAGGGGAGCTGGGGTCGCACTCGGAGCTGTTGGAGCCCGGGGAAAAGGACCTTCAATTAGAAACAGCTCGCTAAGCAAATAGAAATCCAAAAGGTCAGCTTTGGTTGCGTTAATGTTTTACTACTTGCTGAGTTTCTATATAGGAGGAGTGATGTGTTTACACTTTTGCTGCCACAGCTCTCCTGCTGCAACAGACGGGTTTTGAGAATGCTCAGCAGAGAGCTACCTGCAAAAACGCAGGCCGTGAGTCGCACCTGGCTGCCAAAACCTGCAGCAGGGACATCCTCTGCTCTTCCTGCAGCATGTGGTTGTCAACTCAGTGCCAGTTCTTCGGTCCAAGACCCCTTCTTCAAGTGCTGATCCTTCCTCCACTGAAGGACAGGCTTTGTGTGAAGTCCATCACCATCTCCCTCAGCTTTTTGTTGGTGTGCTGTGATGCCTGCAGGGAGGAAAAGATGCCCTTGTGACTAAGATCAGCTGGCTGGGCTGGCTCTGCAGATGATTTCTGTTCCTATTCATGCTGTAGACCTGCTTTGTGACCCACAGGATATTGCTTATAGCCGCAATGTGCTGCCCTTTTCACCAGACAGACTGCTCATCTTGCCTGATTTCACAGTGATTCCCAAAGCTTCGCTTAATTTAGGGACAGAGAACTCACGTTACCACAGTTCACTTGTCAGGAAGTGACTTGTTAAGCTGCAGCCACTGGTGGCGTGGGCTCTCTTAGCCTGGTACAAGATCTCAAGAAAAGAGGTTAAGGTTAAAACCTACCTTTATAGTTAAAAGCTCCGTTCTGTGGTTTGAACTTAACTCTGCCTCCTTATCACTTGCAATAAATAGGTTTGTAAGCATTGCTTCACCTGCACAGGGACAGTGTACGTGGCTATTTCACATGCCTCAGCTGACAGGTTGGAAGGAGTGTGTCACCTGTGGTTACCTTCAAAAGTATTTAAAGAAAATTGGAGGGAAGAGGTGTGCTACAAGCCTGATCTCCTTTTCCAAGTGCAGCTCTTCCTAGAGATGCCTCTTGCAGGAGATCATAGCTGTGGCAATTGCTTTCACTGTATTAAAAAAAAGAAAAAAAGTTATGCCTCCGTATCAAATGAACACAGCCAGCTGTCCCAGCCCCCAGCAGTGAAGGAATTTGATTTTACATATCACAAGTGGTCATTTGGACCGCTGATGATAAAGCACGAGCTTAATTACCGACCTATCTAACAAAGATACTGTGTGAGTGCTCTCCCTGGCACACGCACCGCTGAGAGCAGGGACGCGGTGCTGCAGCCTGCCCGCCCCTCGTGCCCTGTGGTTCCTCCGTCTGCGGTGCCTCGCTGCGATGTGTTCACCGTGCGCTATCATTTGGCAATTCCACTTTGAGTCACTTTCTGGAATGCAGCTCTTGCACCATTTCTGCTTACGTGAGAACAGCCTGGTTAATTTTTTTTTTTTTTATGTAGGATTAGTGCTGAATGAACTCCCGTATATACAGGAATCGCCCCGAGTCCTGGAGCTTAGCGTGCTGGGAGTTAAAAAGGGCCAGTCCAGGCAGCTCTGGTGAGCTCTGCTCGTGTCACACACCTCCTGGGAGCTTTTTGGCAGGCGCACATCCCTCATGCTGACTCCGGGTGGGAATACACAGACTGGTACCAGGGTACGAGTGCTTTAAACTCCCACTGCTCTCCAGTAACCCCTTTCCCAACCCGCTGCTCAAATTCTCAGATAAGACCTTGCTGGAAGAGTGCAGTAATCTCCCGAGAGCCACCCGCCCTCCTCCTGGGCTGAGTGGGTGAGCACATTCTTTGGAAATCTGTTCATTTTCAGCGAGCAAACCTGACGTGTGGGCACTTGGAGGAAGTAAAAACTTTAGGTTTCCTACACCACGGAGGTGACCCTGGGGAGCCCTTGCAGCCCAGTAGTGCTGCCAGCACGGCCACACGAGGTTCCCTGCGGCTTGGCCTCTGCAGGTGCCGTGCGGTGGTGGGTCCCCAGGGTGCTGGGCTGCCCTCCTGGCACCAGGACATGTGCTCTGTCATTCAGAGAGCAACACGAAACACTCAATTCCCACTTGGAAAAGACACCGGTTTGAAGACATCTTGATAAAGCCTTACAGGCTGTTAAATACAGGCTTCGGAATTACACCCACGGCATGCCCGGTGCAGGTCTGCCCTTTTTGGATCGCTCTGGTTTCTCAAAGGTGGCCTAAAATTACCACGGGACCGCAGGAGGAATTATTAGTGAAGATGGCAACGTGCCGCAGTGGTGCAGCTCGCCGCACGCCCAGTTCCTGTTCCTGTTTACTGGGTTGGTGATCCTGGCCACCATCAGTAGTCACCCATCTGGGTGATGCAGAGCGTGCCGCGGAGGTGCCCCATCTCTCCCAGGTGTGGGGCTAGCGTCAGGGCTGAGGCAGGCACAGGGTTCCTCTGAGAGGTTTGTGTCTGGGATGCTGGCAGCAAGTTTGGGATGCTGCACGTCGATGGCCCTCTGCCTTCCTGCCGCATGGCTTGGTGCGCTTTGCTCAGGAGGAGGGATGTGACGCTTGCTCGTGTTTGCTGCCAACGCCTGATCTAGGACTCTTGAGTTGTCTGTTTCTCTTTCTGAACTGAATCCTCATCCGTCTTCTCCAGTTCCTGTATTAAGAACCCCAAACAAAACGCAAGTCATGAATGTTAGCGTAGTTTTGAAGCTGTATTCCTTAAACGCAGTCACCCGCTTGCGTGGTTACCAATGGAACTGAAAAAGTTGCAACCCTGCTTTAAAAAATCTTGAATTTTTAAACTTTCTGCGAGGGTTTTAAAAAGAGAATTTGATTCAAGTTGCAGCTTCTAGCACAGTTGAATTTTATTTTTTTTAGAGGGGGGGACAAAGTTCTACTTATGTTAGGATTTTTTTTTTTTATTTTAAAGAGACCCAGTCAGAATAATTACAAGACCAGGCTGGAAATTATTCACCGTGTAAATATGCAATACATGCAGTCTTGTCTCCTTGGAAAATAAATGATTTACTTGTACTTAGTTTACAGACTGCGCATCTGCCCTCAGAAATGTTGTACAATAGTAGATAGCGTTGTGTTTCTTTGTAGCTGGAGAAAAGAGTTTGTAACTGACGTGATGACTGATAGTACCGAAAATGCTGTGCTTCCAACGTTGGAGAGTTTATTAAAATCAGATTAGCTGCTCGGACTATATCAAGAAAGTAACTTTTGAAAAAAAAAGATCTCTGACTGCTAATCTTGGATCCCATTTTCCACAATAACACTTCTAGGACAGCAAGGCAGCCCCGCTCCCTGCAAGCTGATGAAGTTGCTGGAGGAGGGCTTCCGTTCCCTTTAAATAGCTGACACATTCGGTTTTGATTCTGGCCTGTGGGCTGCAAAGATAACTCCTGACTGGTGTAACATAACACAGACAAAATAATGAATTCCTGATAGCTGACATGTGTGAGACACTGGGGTTTATCATTACGTGGGTGATAAAGGCAGTCTGCAGCAGGAAGAGGTTTGTGTGAAAGATACGTTTGCTGGCTGCGGCGATAGAGGAACTGGCTCAGAAGCTCCAAACTTTACAAACTTTATGGAAGAGCAAAATAAGTGCTTGGTTTAGTTGCAGAAAATTGGCATCAGGAATGTGCTCCTAATTAAGATGAGCACTCACTCTTAGATTTTGGGTAATGTTTGCTTGGGAGTATAATTGCTGGAGGGAGAATCTGTTGATGGAAAGGAACGTGGAAATGGTGATGTGGGCAGTGCTAGGAAATAGCTGCTCAGGGAGAAGTCAGAGGGTGTCTGACAGCGAAGCACCTGCTAGCTGCCGTGCTTACCCGAGGACCAGTTTGGCATCAGGAGCAGGACACGCCTGAGAATTGTTGGAGCCAGTTTGTCCAGCCTGTTTTGGGAAATCTCGCCAGGTTCAAATGACCAAACCGCAGGTGTGGTCGCAGCCAGGATTTGGGGCAAAGCAGAAGCACATATTTGGAGCAGATTCCCCCGTTGTCCCTATTTTCCCATCCTGGGGAGGTCTGGGAGGGATCCGTGCAGTGTAGGGGGAGCCCACCTTGCAAGCCCACCTCAAGGGGCCATGGTGGTGGTGTTCTCAGCCTGAGCACATCCCGGTGCCTCTGGCAGCCCCAAAGGATTTCCTTCCAAGCAGGGCACAGGCTGTACCGGTGGGTGACATAAACGAGCCGGTAGGATCCACGTTCTTAAAGCTGTCTGGTGCCTGTCGTAGACATCAGCTCAGTTTAGTTTTGGATTTTCCTTTTAATGCAATTGCATATTTTAGATGCCTGTGCAGTGGTGTTTACAGAGGCTCTCCCCAGCACAGCCCACTGCTCCCTGGAGGTCGTGTCTGCACAGCTGGGAAATCAGCGCTGAGCGCGCTGGTGCTGTGCTTGCCCCCACTTTGCTCTACGGTTCCTTGT